GCCAATAGTCGTCTACGGCACCTGTGATTGGCTGGCCCAGAAGGAGATAAAGCAGCGAAGTCACGTGCGCTTTGCGGGCTTGGCGCCAGCGCTACAGCTTCCCCCTAGACACCGAGCAAAGTGAGGGGTTGTCAGTGTGGTGAACAATGAGATGCATAAGTAAATCTAGTGCACATGCCGATTTGAGAGCGTATCGATAGCGACAGATGATGCTCGAAAATGAGGCGAAATTGAGGCTGTGACCTGTGCAGAGGTGGAGGTTGAGGCAACAGTCAGAGGCTGTGTTGGAGTGGTCTCCTCAACGTGTGCCGGTGAATTGGCACGTTGATGTGAGAGAAAAGGGTGTGTGCGACGAAGTGCATCGCAGTTAATGTTGAGACAGACAAATCCATCAATGAAACGTTTCATTGTTGCCTGGGCTCGAAGACGGGAAATATTGCGGAGCAGGTCAAACGCAGTGGAGTTTCATCGAGTTAAGCATAGAAGCGGTTTCACTTCTGGAAAAAAAATCATGAGTAAGGATGTCGGTGATGTTGAAAGCAAGCGTCCGAGAAGAAAGAAAACAGCCAGTGTTTGTGTGGCTGAAAGAATACTCTCACAATATGGTCGGAATTCCGTAACTGTATCCGGTTAATGACCGTGGCTTCATTCGTCACGAAATGTGGACAATTGCGTTTTCCTTACAATGGACACGATGAGTGACACTGGAAAAAGCAGTCAGATGAAGTAGAGTGGGAATGTTGCTGACGTTTGCATTCAGGCGCGTCAGAAGTTTGCAATTTGATCACGTCGGACAGTCACCAATTTGTAGGAGTTTAAGCCGTGAGTGTGCTCAGAGCACTACAATTATCACGCCCATTTCCGTACAGGAAGAAGATGGGTAAGACCAGTAGGAGTGATTTATTGTGTACAGGAACTGGGCCTGATAATTGTAGTGTTCTGAGCACATACACGGCTTGGACCCCTACACACATAATCTTTCGCAAAGAAAGCCGTATTGTGCATTAAACAAAGGTTTAGTTTTCCAAATAAGCCATCATTTCCTTTTTAGTGATCTTCTTGAAAACTTTGCAGTAGATTAAGATCAGACTGACGGGATTGCGGATGGCCGAAAGTGCATAACAAGCTCTTGAATAAAATGGCGTACTGTGAGCTGTTTTCCAGTCCCGCTTCATATGTGCCAGTCAGTGGATCAGTGCTAAGATAAGGCTGACCAAACAAGCATAATACTTTGGAATGATCGTCTACCATTTACGTTTCTATGGGATTGAGCTACATTTTGAACCTTTAACTTGTAAACCTTAGGGTGACATTCCAACTATTTGTGCGTTTTCATTTCATGTTTCATTTGTATGTGCAGTGTGCCCTATGAGCCTTGAGTCGGTACGCTGGAACCAAGTAAGTCCTTAGTTTTGAAGGATTTTACCGAAATCTTTTAAAGCATAAATAGGGAAAACATTCTCCCGCATATACCCTAAGTACTTAGGCTTTGCTCTTCACTGATCCGGACGCGCTCGTTTGGAATTAGTTTCGTTTCCCCTTCTCGTGTGTTGTGTTTGTGCCGATCCGATTGTATTATTCACTGACTGATATTTATCTCTAAGGTTTTAATGCAAACGTATATCCAAAAAATTACATAATGCTACCCATACTTGTTGTCCTTTTCTGCGCTGGGCTCACCGTCATTACCATTTTGCCCTTATAACCATGCTAAAAATGCAATCCCGAAAAATAAGTTGATGGTCAGTCGGGATTTTCTACACATTTCTATTCGTTATCTGTAGTTTGCACTATCTATTCCGTGTATTTAACATACGTTTTGTCACTAACAAAGAGGCTTCGTTGTCCTTTCTGACTTGGTAGCCTGTAAATCGCTCTGCCTCGATGTCGAAATCCCGTGTTTTGTTGCGCAGTATGCTTATTGTTTTCATACAAAACGCAAGTATCAACCAGGTTCACTTTGGATCTTATTGAAGACATCAGTATCTTCTACTTAGAGAGGCAATCAATTAGGGTACATGGATGCCTTTAATTGTTACTGTTTCGAACATCAAGCATCATTAGTGATGCACGAGCTGGACAAATACAGGATTATACCAAGTTTTAGCATCGGGTGTCACTGTATTACAGTTGTTAGGTCATGTTTTCGTCTTTTAAGGCCGAATTATCAAGCCCATTTTCCCGAGTAAGTTAACCTAAAAACTATGAGGGTTGCCCGTTGTTTACTTCATAAACTTATAGCCGTCTTCAACAATATGCTGCGCTGGAGTTTATCAGTAGCATTGCTGATATCTACACAATACTACTCCGTGCATATATTTCGTGTTTCAACATGGTTTAATGTTGGTTTTATTCGCTCTGTGTAAGCATTTTCTTTATAGCATGCTCAGTAGTCCTATGTAACCCTTGTTTCTGTGCCTACAAAAACGCTTCTCTTGTTTCCTATAGGCGTAATGAAGATTGACAGAAAAAAGATCGGGAATAGATGTGGTTATGATCAGAACGAGTGTATGCTGTTAGCTAAGCATCTAGCTACGTTGTCAGATGAAGAATTCGTCCAGGACTTACGGAGAATCAAGGTTTGGAATTATGGAAAGTGCGAACTTGGTCTATGGGCTGATATTCTGGATCGGCTTGATGGGATTCTGGAGAATGCTGCCACCAGAGTCGGCGCTTGGACTATAAAAGTCGACCTCCCAGAAAACGAAAAACTCGTTGAGGATGTCGTTACTGTTCTCGAGTTCACGGGCCATCTTATTGAACACAGCATTTACCGATGTTTATATGGTTCTTGGAATCATATTCTCACCCTTTTTGGCTCGTCGAATATGGACATTTTATTGGCTGTCCTAGGACTGACGTATAACTTCAGGTAAGTCTTTATTTTCCCCATCATCTGCTGTAGCAAAAGAAGCAACTACTTTTCCCGCTTGGACGCAGCTAATAAAAAGATGATTCTCGATCGATTAATATCGATTGCCGAGGTAAATTTGTTTCTGCTGATATTGAATTCGCTTTTAGACATGGGGTGGATCAGAAAGCCATTTTGATCTCGCTTCTTGTTGCCAACCCGATCATGTAAGTTCATTTCGTAAAATGTTTACGTTTAGTTCCCACCCACGGCTGGTAATATTTACTTTGAGTATCAACCGGATGTTGTGAACTCACCAAACCATGAAACAAATGGCGAGGTTGCAGGTAGTATTCCTTCTGTTCTATTCTCTCTTATAGTTGTTTGTCCGAATACAGTTCCACTATCGGGCCCTGACGTAATTATTGAGGACCTCAAAGGATGTAGGGAGTCCCCTTCACAAATCATGGAAGCTCTACTGAAGAAACATCCTGTACCGTTGCCGAATCAAATGGCGTTGTTTGCCCGGATTCGTCTCGCTGTCTATTTTTCTGATCCCGAAAAACGATTAAAGTGCATACGAGCCAGGCTTCAGGCAATATCTACTCTTTGTATGTCTTTTT